AGTGAAAATGCCCAGAGTTGGGAGACAGAGTGTCATGTTTGAGGAAGAATGAGGAGGTCATTGTCACCAGATCACACAGTATATAAGGGGAAGGGTGGCCTAAGATATAAGAAGACTGAAAGGTAGGGGATAGGGAAGTATGTGAAGGGCTTTGAGCCAAACAGAGGATTCTATATTTGATTCTGAAGGTAATAGGCAGGTAATGGTCTATTGAGTAGTGGGGTGATGTAGTCAGACTTGCATTTTGGGAAGATCATTTTGACAGCTAAGTAGAAGATGCACTAGAATGGGAAGAGATTTGTGACAGGGAGCTGGTTATTACAGTGGCCCAAGATGTGAGGTGTGCCCATACCAGGGTGGTAACAGTGTCAAAGAAGAGAAGGGGGTATATGAGAGAGATATTATAAAAGTAAAAATGATAAGCCTTTGCAATTGTTTGGATATAGGAGGAAATACTGAAGAGTTGAGGATGACACCTCAGCATGATTTTGTAATTTTCTCCAGCTGGCTTAAGGGGAATGTGAATAAGAAATAAGAGAATGGGGAGACAGAGAATGAGTTTTGAATGATGATAGACGATAAGAATCACTGAGGTGGGGGGAGGGGATTTTGTTAATCATTAAGGAATTAGTTTGGGTAGGGATTTGTCTGGGAAGTTTAGTCTCAGCATTTTGTTCTATCAAGGCCTTAGGCAGTTCAGACGAGGGGACAGGTCCTGGTAGGTGAAACAATGGTATTATTCCCTTTACGCCAAAGGAAAGAGACCAGGCTTAATGGAATGGCAGTTCTCCTATTCCCAAGAAAGGAGACTTTGGATCACGGTGACCATGTTCTGGGGGGAAACCTGAATACTACATAAGCAAATTTAGTTAGTGGCTGGAAATGGAGCAGGGTAGGCTCAGGAGGTGGGCTCCAGAGACTATTTGGATGGCCCAGGTACTAAGAAATAAAACCCTTGGTCAAGGGATGGTCACCTAATAGGGCCAGTGATGACTATCCTAGGCTCAGATTCCATGGAAGAGTCTACAGCTGCTCATTTGTATCTATATCTGGGAAAGCAGAAATTTGAATCCAAAGTCACAATTCAGCCCCCAAAAGAATAAGGAAATAAGGAAGGGATTAGACCTAGAGAGGGCATAAAGGATGCCTCATGGAATGGGTTCAGAAGGTATTCCTGGAAGCAGCTGGTAAAAGATAGAGTGAGGAAGATCTGAGCTCCATTCTTGCCATATATACTTAATAGCTATGTCACCCTGGGCAAGTCACTTAACATCTCTCAGCCTGAGTTTCCTCTCTATGAAATGGGGACAATAATAACAACTCTCACAGAATTGTTGTGGGAATCAAATGAGAATACGTGATTTGCAAATCTCAAAGTGCTACATAAATGTTAGCTATCATTATTATTATTTTAAGGACAATAAGGATAGGAAACAGGACAGAGCAGTCCAGCCCTTCTTTCTTGTGTGTCCCCCTGCCCTCCCCCCAAAAAAATCCTAGATCTTCTATAATCCAGAAGGAACTATGTGGTTTAGCCATCTTGCTCTTCTATCAGGGTGCTGTGAAGACCTTAAGAAAGAAAATAAAAAATCCTCTCCCCAATAGATCAATTAATTGGTCATTAAGCCTCCTCTTTAAAAAATCTAAATATTCCTTGGATAGGTAAGGGAGGTAAGGGATCAGTCATTTATACTTAAGTGTGCAGTCATTCGATCAGATCGTTTTCCTGTTAGCCCCTATTTGAGATATTAATTGAAAGAATGGGAGTTTTGATTGAGAGGAAGGAAAAGATAGAAAGAATTAATTTGGGGTATGGGATATGAAGAATGAAACCAAAGCCTTATTGATCTAGAGCAGTGGGGCCTTTGAGTAGGCAGAAGTCAGTATATGGTGGGCATTAGGAATGTGCTAGAAAATAGAAGGGAGGGATGGGAAGAAAGGGAAAGGTACTTCAGGGCCTCCCCTAGAGTGAAAGGAACCCCATGGTCCCCCCTCGACCTATCACTTGCTCTGGAGAATTTGGGGATAGCAGAGGGATCCGTCTCCCTCCTATTATTCTGAAAAAAGGTCTTCCACCCACTGATGGATCCTTCTTCCCAAGACTGGTAGATAATCCTACTCTCTGGAGTGGACAACAAATTGACCTATTTACCCTCCATACACTCTACCAGGCCTGCTGCCTGCTCTTATTATCCAAGAAGTTCCTTCCCTTCAGTTCCTCACCTACCACAATGAATTGGCTTCATGACAAAGTGAATGGAATCCAAGGATAGACTCCAGGTTAGCTGTTGTTCATGGGGCTATTCTCAGTCATATATGGCCAAGTGTAAAGAAAACATTGTTTGCTGACAGACTGTGCATTCTTCAGAAGCAGTTGCCACCTTCACAATTTCTTATAGGTGCACAAGTTCATGGTGCTTAGACGCTTAAGAATTTGAAGATACATTTGGTTGGATTAGTGTTATTGTTCGGTCCTTTCCAACTCTTCATGACCCCATTTGGGGTTTTATTGGTGAAGATACTCCACTTCCTCATCCCAGCTCATTTCACAGATGAGGAAACTGAGCCAAAAAGAGTTAAGTGACTTGCCCAGGGTCACACAGCTAGTAAGTGTCTGAAGCCAGATTTGAACTCAGGAACATGAGTCTTCCAGCCTCCAGGCCCCACACTCTATCCATTGTGTAACTGCCCAGTTAGATTAGTAGCTTCAGCTAAAATGTATATGGAGTGGACAGAGTTACATGCCAGTGAATATTCGCCTGTCCGTAACACATCTTCCTTTAACTCCCCAGTCATTATTAAGCATTGACTAATGCCCAAAGTTGGGGCATCAAAATGGCGCAGTAGAGAGAGACCTGGGCCTACAGTCAGGAAGACCTAAGGTCAAATCTGACCTCAGACACTTACTAGCTGTAGGACCCTGGGCAAGTCACTTAACCCTGTTTGCCTCAGTTTCCTCTTCTGTAAAATAAGGTAAAGAAGGAAATGGCAAAGCACTCCAATATCTCTGCCAAGAAAATCCCAAATGGTGTCACAAAGAGTCAGACATTACTGAAGAACATCAGCAGTACCCAAGGTTGATCACTTTATTTCTGTACCTCTGTTTTCCCATTAGAAAAGGAGGAGAAGCAGATTCGGACGAAATGAAACTGCACACAACAGAACTCTGTCCCTTCTCCCAGTAGTTCCTCTACTAGGGGTACTATGGTGTAGCCTTAATGGCAGAAAGCCTGGTCACCGGCAGTGGCTCATGCCTCTGATGAAATAATAATAACATAACTGAGCCCCATTTGCACCCAGGTCCCCCTATTGTGGGCCAGGGAAAGCCAAGATAAGCCCTTTGAACTATACAAAATATCCTTTCTTCTGCACAGGCAAAAATTTAAAAAGTCGTCTGAAGTAATTGGAAACCCTGTGTAGTCCCCATCGGCTGATTGCCTTGCTCTGTGTTACTTTTGGGATTTCTTGTTTCATTTATACTGGATTTTCTGAATGTATAGATTATATTTTTAGATATGTTGCTGAACTCTAAGGAACTGATAGCATGGCATCTTACAAGACTGGTATTAACACATTGTGTCTGCATCATGCAGCTGAACCCATAACAAAAAAGTGAAATTGAATGTACCCAAGCAAGATAATACCTACCTACCTACCTACCTAGTGAACTTCTAATACTGGTAGATAATGAATACTTGAATGTTGGCATAAATGACTCTCAGGATAGAAAGTGTCCACATTGCTCTTTGCTGGAAATGTATCTCAACAACCTAATCTATTGTTTTTGTATATGGGGGACCCTGTTGTATCTTCTTTATTCAGGTATGACTGACTGGCTTTGTTTACTAGTCACTTAAAATAAGCAAAATGTTCCCCAAAGTCCTCATTATCCAGATTAAGCATTGTCATTATGTTTCAACCATTTTCCATTCAAAATATGACCACCTCAGAATTCTTTGAGTTATTTTCTTATTCTCCTCCTTACTTCAGTCTTTCAAGCATCTTACTCATTCTACTCATGGAACTCACAGCCCAGATCTTAACAGAGGATTTCATATTTTGTTGGGAAAGGGAAAAAAAATCATTATCCTCTGGGGAGAACCCTCTTCTTGGCTAGCTAGAATTTATTAAACCCAAGGAAAGCCAGATCCTTCTACTTTTAAATCTATTATTGGCATTTTGGAATATGCCTTTTGGGGGGAGGGGGGAGATTTCTTCCAAGGAGCCAGTGTCCAATAATTAGATCAGAACCAAGATTCTTGATTTCATTTCATGACTTGAACCCAGAATCCTAGAGTAGTCATGGGATCATAGAGTCAAAGCTGAAAAAAACCTCAAAGGCCATCTAGTCCGATGTCCTTGTTTTACAGGGAAAGAAACTGAGGCCCAGAGAAAGTAAGTGACTTGCCCAAAGTCACACAGGCAATGTCAGAGACAGGATGTGGATCCATGTCCTTTGACTTCAGGGCTGCTGCTTTTTTCCACTATACCAGGCTATCTCTGAATATTGTAGAAGGCAATTTCCATGGCACTAAGTTTTAACAGACTCTTAAATAAGGATCAAGCAGGTGACCTATTTCACTTAGCACATACAATATTTAGTGCCTACCACAAAGGATGTAAAATGTTTTATCTTCTTATGATGACTTCGGATTAGGTAGATTAAGCATTTATCATGTCATAAGATTATAGATTCAGAGCTGGAAGGGACTTTAGAGGCCATCAAATACAATAATTTCATTTTTCAGTTGAATAAAAGGAGAAGTAACATGACTTGCCCAGCAGCAGAGAGATAGTAAGTGTCTGTACTAGGATTTGAATCTAAGTCTTCCTGACCCAAGTCCAGTGCCCAGACTACTATACCTAATCTGTATAGTATCTACTATACCTGTCTTTCTGCCTAATAATTTTTGTTATTTGCAGGAAATTACAGAGGAATCACAGATGTCGCATGGCCTTTTAATGTAAAAATAAATTAACAATTTGTATTGTCCTTCCAGACTCAAGGGGCAGGTTCTCCACGTTCTTCTCCCAGTCACACGATAAGCAGGCCTATTCCTATGCCCATCAGATCAGCCTCTGCCTGCTCTACCCCAACTCATACACCTCAGGACTCTCTGACAGGGGTAGGAGGAGATGTACAAGAAGCCTTTGCACAAAGTAAGTGACCTTATTTTGGTTCTTGCTTGGACCTGTGAAGGTCTGTTCACTTAAATGCTGCTATATGGTCTAACCCAGAGGTTCTTAATTTCTTTATGTCATTGATCCCTTTGCAAGTCAGGTGAAGCACATGGACCCGCTCTCAGAATGACGTTTTTAAATGCATAAAATAAAACCATAGGATTACCAAGGAAACTGATTACATTGAAATAGTTATTAAAATATTTTTAAAACCAAGTTCATGAAACCCAGATTAAGAACCATTGATCTAAACTTATAAGAGCTTTGCAATGTACTGTGACATATTCTACTTTCTTGCCCTAAATCAACTGTAGATACTCCTTCCTCCTTTCTGCTTCATCCTCCATAAACAGACATCATTTAGGAGTATAGTGGATATCTTTGATTTCTCAGGAACTTTGATAAAATACAATATGTCAAGTCAGTAGCATTTAGTCAATCAATTAACATGCCTTTATTCAGTATTTACTATGTGCCAGGCACTGTGCTAAGCTCTGGAGAGACAAAGAAAAGCAAAAACACAGACCTTGCCCTTAAGGAGTTCACAATCTAATGGGAGGGATAATGTGCAAAAAAATTATATTTATAAGATATATACAATGGAAGGTAATCTAAAAGGGAAGGCACTAGCAGTGAGGGGTGAAAGAAGAGGTCCAAATGCCTTCAAGGAAATAAGAACAGTGTCCTGCTTATTTACTTCACTGTATGACCATTCTTAGGGCAGCTAGGTGGCACAGTGTATAGAGTGCTGAGCCTGAAATCACAAAGATCTGAGTTCGAAGGTGTCCTCAGACACTTACTTATTGTGTGACCTACGTGGCAAGTCTGTTTGCCTCAGTTCCCTCATCCGTAAAATGAGCTGGAGAAAGAAATGGCCAACCATTCCAGTATCTTTGCCAAGAAAATTCCAAATGGGTCATGAAGAGTTGGACACAACTGAACAACAATATAACCATTCTTATTCAAAGCTATTCACAGTGAACTTAGTGATTTTTAAAAAAAATTTAATTAACTTTTCTATCCATCTGCCCCAGAGTAAACTTTCTGGGGATGAGAACAATCTATTAAGTTCCTCATTTCTTACTACTTTCCCATCCTCTGTTAGCTTATAACCAACTAAAGACTGAGATAATTCAATTTGCAGATAGCACAACAGTTTAATTATTTTATGCACAGGAGAGTAGGAGGTTAGCACTCCTGAGATGGACAAGTAGAGGCTTATTGTGATGTGTAGATGCCTGAGGGATTCCCTCTTGTCACAGAACTTTCTTGAAGATGAAGTCATGATATCAGTGAACTTCAGAAACAGCCTTGCCTCCTTTCCCAATAACTGATTGGAGGATGACCATCATAGAAGCTTCCTGTTGAATCCACACCTTTCTTAGCACTTATTTAGAGGGCTAAAAGTATGAAAGCAATATCTAGGAAACAAAGTGCAGAGCCCTAACATAATTGTGTGCCTTTTAACACAAAAATAAGTGTAAATATTTTGTGATAAAGATTTCATGTAATTGTGTTTTGAATTAGAAGAAAATTACCTTTTCTCCCTCTTCTCCAGAGTGATATTTTTACAGAAATTTAAATTATTACTCATCCAGCTTTAGCCTGTTAGCTGTGCCTATTAATTGTTGTATTTCAATTAATAACCATTAGACCACCAGTAGTGTGATAGAAAGAGCCATATTTTATATTAAGTTCAAGTCCCAACTTACTAAAAGGGTGTAGTTCAAAATTTCATTCATATGTCCTGTGAGTGTATTTTTCCCATAGAATTCACATTTAAATCATGAGGTTCTAAGATTATGTAATAGTGGATAGCCAGCATTTATAGAGTGCTTTAAAGTACTTTACTAATATTATTTCATTGATTCTCACAATAACCCTGGGAGGTGGGTGCTATTATTATCCCCATTTTACGGATGAGGAAAGCGAGGCTGAGAGAGGTTAAATAACTTAATTTTTATTAAGTTCTTTTTTTATTATTATACTAATTTATATTATTTTATTTATTATTTATATCATATTAATCCTTTTATTACAAGGATTTGTTCTGTAAAATTTTGATTCAGGTAAAAAGCTGAAGGCTTAAGGATCTAGAAAGCCACATGTGGCCTCAAGTCCACAGGTTCCCCACCCCTGGAAATGAATTGCCCAGAATCAGTCTGCTAATAATCTACGGCTAGATTTGAATTCAGGTCTTCCTGACTGCAAGTCCAGTGTTCTATCCACTGCACCACTTAGCTTCCTCCCACAATTGCCTTTTTTAATTTTTAACGTACTTGAAATACAACAGTAATAGTAATCTACAGTGTTAATAGCACCATACAGCATTAATGGTACCATAGAGCATAGTCTCTATGGAGATTTTTTTTTTAATGAGAAAATGCATTCAGAGTTCCAACTGGAATTCTTTTCACTGGAAAGAGATATTTAGCAGGGCCAGAAGCAGAAAATAATCTGAGTAAAGTACCGACAAACAAAACACAGAAAGAGTCTTTCACCATGCTAGGTGCCACAAAGCCATCTGATTGCATTAGTGCTTCTGCCCTGGTCTCCTTTAGCCAGGATATTTACTGGGTGTAGCTATGGGGAGCAAGCCTGGTGTTTGGAAACCTGGCCATGGCATTCTACAGCTTGTTGGGAAGTCGTGGTCTTCAGATAGTACAAGAAAGGAGCTAGGCGAGACTTATTATGTCTCTGAGCATCAGGAATCTAGCAGCCAAGGTCCTCGTCCTCAGTTTCCCAGGTCCGTCTCTCCCTTACAACCATTGTCTGTGTACACACGAGTTCTGATTGCCCTCCTTTGGGCTGCGGTGTTGGGGGCGTTTTAATATTACCCCAGATACAGTGTTTTTGTTTCCAAGCTTTGCTTTCTGCTTCCTTGGAGCCAGCATACTTACATAAAGAGGAAGGAACTGTGATGAAAAGTTGTACCCAGCAGGGTCAGTGTATACTTTGTCCTGAGAACACTCTTTCTCAGCCACTCTCATGCCTTAAGAATATGATCATGCTAATGTGGAAATACATTTAACAGGATTGTACATGTATAATCTATATCAGATTGCTTCCTGACTTGGGGAGGGAGAAAAATTTGGAACTCAAAATATTATGGAAATGAATGTTGAAAACTATCTTTACATGTAATTGGGGGGAAAATAAAATACTAAGGGAAAAACCTCTCTTTTTTTTTTGATGACTATTAAAAAAAAAAAAGAATATGGTCCTACCAGTGGCTGGGAAACCTCTAGGTCATGAGGACTCTGATAATCTGCTCTAAGAGCAACAGGGAGCACGGAAAGAAGAGGGAGAGAGAAAATAGAAACAACAGATACGACAACTATTTGTGTGGATGATTTGTTTAAAAGTTCTGTAGACAAAAGTCAGGATTTTTTTCATGTTACTACTGTACATAGTATTTGGGAAAATGAAGCTCTTTGTCCTAAGTAACCCAGGCTTTTTTTCCCCCCATAATATCTATTCCTTCAGGATGTTGAAGGAGTCTGTTCCTTTTACTAGCTCTGTGGGGGTGGAGGGTTGTTTGTTTAAAAAAAACATAATTTGGGAATAGATAAGAATCATGTGCTTTGTATTATGTTTTTCTACTTAAGGTACAAGGAGAAATTTAAGGAATGACTTGCTTGTAGCTGCAGACTCCATCACTAATACCATGTCCTCTCTGGTGAAAGAGCTAAACTCAGGTGAGACTCTCAATCATTAAAACAACTGCTGTGCATTACGTAAGGATCTATAAGCTTTAGTTTGCAAAGTATAGAGTAAAGATGGAGCTGCTTAGGAGCCAAAGTTTTAAATTTAGTAATTTGTCCATACATTTTATAGTTGTTTAAATGACCATTTGTCTCCAAAAAAAAAATGTCTATTTATGGGAGGCAGAGTCCAATAGTGGCCTTGGACTTCGGAAGACCTGTGTTCAAGAATTGCATTTCACATATTGGAGAAATGATCCGAGGCAAGTCACTTATCTTCTCAGGGTCCCAGACAAATTCTTTAAGATTGTAATTGCAGAACTGTTGCTGACACCATTAAAAAAAATCACTTATCGTGAGTATTTATAGTGGTTTAAAAAAAAAAGACAATACTTTTGCTGCTCTTAGTAATATAGCCCAGTGTCTCATATCCATCTGATCAATCTCATTATTTTGTTTTTCAAAATGCCTATAATTTAATAACATTTTGAGTTGGCCCATGGTTTTTCACTCTAACGTTTTCATGCCAGGAATTCTTTGGAATGTGTTTGAGGAGGCTGGAGCTAGACCAAGAACCTTTGACTATCTACATTAGTCTGCTCCACAGCTTTCATTTATGTGGATGAAAATAATGCCTCACACTTGTGTGCCATTTTACATGTATTTTCTTTATTTAGTACATCTTTTTGTTGATATCTATGTTTTTTGCATTACCTAGACTTCCCTCTGTAATTCTCCTCCTCCCAGAGAGCCATCCCTTAAAACAAAGAATTCTTTACATGCCTTTTCAAAGTGTTTTCATTCATTCAGGAAACACTGAGTGAATATCAACCTGCAAGGCACTGTTAAATGAAGTGAAGGGATACAGAGATAATAAAATATGATCCTTTCCTTCCTCTCAGAGATCAGTTCATCTGAAACAAAGTTGTGATATTTTTCAAAAAAAAAGAGAGCTTTATCACATAACTGAAAGGAAATAATAGTAGTTCAGCATTTGTGTTGTACTTTAAGGTTTGCTTTACAAATATTCTCTCATTAGATGAAAAGTAGGTACTATTATTAGATTGTTATTATTATTACTAGATTGGATGTAGATACTATTATTATCCTCATTTTACAGATGAGGAACAAGAGGCTGAGAGAAGTTAAATGACTTGCCCTGGAGGATATAACTAAGAAGTGTTTGAGATAGGATGTAAACTTCAACAAGATGTCCTGTAATGGTCAGATACTAGAGCAGGTCAGTCAAAGGGTCTCTCTTGAGGACCTAGAGGGCCACATGTGGCCTCAAGGCTGCAGGTTCCCCACCCCTATTAGATACCACCAGCTAGAAGACCATTGTCCATTTTAGAAATAATGAAGGCTTGAACTAATATGGCAGGGATAGAAAAGACATGAATTCAAAAGATATCATAGAATAAAAATTGATAGGACTTGGTAATTAATGGAATAGAAGAGTGTATAAGTAAAGAAATATATAAGTGAAAAAGTCAGTTATGACAGCAAGATTTTGAGCCTAGGTGACAAAGAAGATGGCAATTCCATTAACAAAACTAGAGAAGTCAGGAAGGAGATAGTGGAGACAGTGGGTTTAGTGTTCAATGTTAAGATGCCAGTGGACTATCTAGCAGAGGTTTCTAACAACCAGTTGGAAATAGAGTACTTCAGCTCAGTAGAAGGAATGTAGCTGGAAATATAGATTTGACAGTCATCTTACCTTGAGCTGATAGCTGAAGCTTTGGGAGTGGTTGAGGTCACCAAAGGAGACCGTATGGAGAGAAGAAAGAGAAGTGAAAATGGAACTATGATTATGAGCCGTCTGAGCAAACTTCTGTTGCATCAGAATCATAGAATCTCTAAGTTATAAGGGAATTTGGATACCAACCTATAAAAGGATCAAAATTCCATCTTCAGAATACTAGTATTCATCCAGCCTTTCCTTGGAGACCTCCAGTGACAGAGAATCCATTGCTCCTAAGGTTGCCCATCCCGCTCTCATTACTAGGAAGCTTTTCCTTTTCTTAAGCCTCAATCTAACCCTCTGCAGCATCCCAGTTCTATCTTGTAGGGCCATGCAGACCCCTTCCCCCCAGTATTATATTTAACTAGTGTTAATCACATTATGGAATGTTAGATTGGAAGGGATTTAATAGGGACCATCTAGTGACTAGTCCAATGGACTAGTTTCTAGTCCAATCGATCCATGTTTTTTGTTTCATTTTTACTGAATTGAATTTGGTTTGCAAATGTAGATACTAAAACTTATTCAAGTACACATTATAATTTACAGATCCCATTTTATCCTCTCAGCAACCTTATGAATAAAGGAATATAAGTGTTATCCCTATTTTACAGAGAGGAAACTGAGGAACCTTAAATGATTCACCTACAGCCCCTTGCTAGTTCCTAGTTGAGCTAGGATTAGAGCTTGTTATATAGTGTACTGCTAAGAGACAAAGTAGTCTCGATTCAAGGCCAACTACTACTGAAATCTTAGCAACTTAAATAATAAAGAAACTTCATGTTAAATAATAAAAGGAGAAAATGTATACTTTTTCTTGATTCATGTGGTCATTGCAATTTTGTTTTGTTTTGTTTTGTTTTGTTTTTAGGCGATTGGGGTTAAGTGATTTACCCAGGGTCACATAGCTAGTAAGTGTCAAGTGTTTGGTCTGAGGCTGAATTTGAACTCAGGTCCTCCTAACTTCAGGGCCGGAGTCATTGCAAATGTAATGACAAACTTGAATTTTTTAAATTTATGTGTCATTCAAGACAAATTCTCTAGAGCTAGACTCTGTCACAGGATCATATATTTAGAGTTGGGAGAGACCTCACAGGCCATCAATTCTAACCCTTTCACTTTAAAAATAAGGAAACTGAGTCACAGAGGACTTAAGTGCCTTGCCCAAGGTCATATAGGCCATGAGGAGTAGAGTCAGGATTCAAACTCAGGTCCTCTGTCTCCAAATTCAGCTCCCTTTCCACGTTAACACACTACTTCTTTCATTTTCTTTTTCTTCCTTACTCATCTAACATGAAATGTTTTCAGTTATGGCAAGAATATCAACTTCTTACACAATTTTAGTTTGGCATTTCTAATTTTTCCTACTTGTTCTAGACACATTAGTGATAGCTCTGGATTCTTCAATAAGTTGCTTTTGTTGTCCTCTTTGCTGAAACATTAATTTATAAAGGAAGAGTTCATTGATATTCTGATACCTGTATTATAATGTAAATTTAAATACCAAAGTTTGGAGGTGGGAAGGACACTATCAGAAACTTTATTTTTATCATTATAAATTTAGCATTAAGATCCACATTTTATTCATTAAATAACATTAGAACTTCTAGTGATCCTAGTCCTCTGTGTCTTTCCCATCTGTTATTCTTATTAAGAAGCTTGTCCAGAAATAAACTGGCTTCATGTTTTGATGCCTAATTTAAAAACACAGACACACAAAATTATATTGAAAGCCCTAATATAAAATGGGGATGGGAACTGGATTGAAGTCAACTTTCTTTTTCTAACTTGTTATCTCGTGCACTGACAGAAACAAATAGGTGAAGGATCTATGATTTTATCAATGTAGGGACCTCCCTTTACCAATATGGTTATCAACTAATCTTATCAAAGAAAGAAGAAAACAAGGAGTTATTATCTGCCTACTATGTGTCAGGTACTCTGCTAAGTAATCACTTTACAAATATTATCTCATTTGATCCTCACAACAATCCTGTAAATTAGGTGTTATTTTTATCCCCATTTTTGCAGTTGAGGAACTAAGGCAGAGGTTAAGTGACTTGCCTGGAGTCACACAGCTAGAAGGTATCTGAGCCTAGAACTGAACTCAGGTCTTCCTGACTCCAGGCTCAGCACTTTATCTACTGTTTGATTTATATTGTTATTCAGCCCTGTCTTACTCTTTGTGACCCCTTTTGGGGTTTTCTTGACAAAGATACTGGAATGGTTTGCCATTTCTTTCTCCGGCTCATTTCACAGATAAGGAAACTGAGGCAAACAGGGTGAAGTGACTTGCTCAGGATCACACAGGTAGTAAGTGTCTGAAGCCAGATTTGAACTCAGGAAGATGAGTCTTCCTGACTCCAGGTCCAGTACTCTATCCACTGTGTCACCTAGCTGTCCAATCTCTCAATAGGAAGAAGGTATATAATTAAAGACTTCTTCTATGCTATCATGGATGATAACATGGAACTGCTGCCCAGATAAATTGTTAAGAATTGACCATTTTGCTGTCTCCAGAGAGGTAATAAAACACCTCTCCAGATAAATATTATCGGTTTACACAATTATAATAACTTGTCATAAAAGATATGACTTCATTGGCAAATGGCATTTTTAGCATCATATACGTTACAGTTCCAAAATGTTAAGAATTACAGGATTATAACATTATATCAGGGAAAAGTTTTTTAAAGAATACATTCAATGGGATATTTTTGGCAAGGGAAAAAATTTCTAAGATTCATATCAATTATAGCAGACAAAAAGCTCCCACTTTTTTTCAGTGTGTCGAATAAAATTCTATATGCAACCTGTGCTTTTTAAATTGATTTAGTAATTTGGATAAAAATAAAACTGTTTGCAATGCTAGTAATAAAAGGAATTTCCTAGAAACCAAAGCTAACAATTCTGTTGTGTTATCTCTGGTTATACCTGATAGAGGTGGGGAGTGAGACCGAGAGTAATGTGGATTCTGAATTTGGGCGGACCCAATTTGATGACCTAGTTCCATCACCCACTTCTGAAAAGGCTTTCCTTGCACAAATCCATGCTAGAAAACCTGGGTACCTTCACAGTGGAGCTGCTACTGGAACCATGCACAGTGATATGTAAGTATCTCCCCTTTTATGTATGTGTTCCTCTAAACCTCAAAACAAAATAAAATAAAAGACTGTGAGTAGCTGGAGAAAATGTAAGGTGTAAGGAGGTAGAAGAGGTGTTCCTTCATTCTGGAAAAGATATGGCACCAATGGCCTGACCCTCATAGAGAAAAAGAACTGAGCGGCATTTAAATGCAGCAGAATTGGGAGGCAAGACCTACTAGAAGGAGTAGCTATGAATATAAAAGGCTTGGGCAGAGTCTGCTATCATTCTCTATAGAGAATTTCTAAGAAGGAGAACAAACAGAAAAGGTATTGTAGATTTCCAAAGAAGAAGCTTAGCTGCTTTGAAGAACCAAACGAGAAAGGGACCAGATGCCTTCTTGAAATCATTGGCACTATCAAGATTGATGCATAAAAAACCATCTGTAAAGGATCTGTCCTGGGGAACTAACAACATGAAATGCTTTCCACCAATACAGAGCATGACCACCTATGACAGAGTTGATAAATCGTTGGAAGTTGCTGGAAGTACAGAGTGCTTAAGTGACTTCCCCAGGGGAAGCCAGTCAGAGATGGAATTTGAACCCAGGGCAAGTCTTTCTGAATCAAAGGCCAGCCATCTCTATCCACTGTTTATATCACCTCTGTAAAAGAACAACATTAACCTAAAATTATCATTACCCTTTGTTTAAAATTCAAATGGTAGTAAGCAGAATATAAAATAGAAGGTCAAAATATAATGATTATAGAAGTTTTTCTCCTTTGTAATTCATTATTTCATGTGTTTATTTTTTGGAATAAGTTAATCTATGTTGTGAAACATTCATTTTATTTTGCATAATGAAACATTGGTATATTACTAATTACCTAGGGTTTTCTCTAAGATTTTAGCCTAAGGTTTAAACTACCAAGTCTACTGGATGTCCTCAATTATGTGTTTCTCTGTATAATAGAAACTGTCCTTCAGGATCTTGAACACAAGAAAATAGTATTTTGGAGGATGTTTTTTATTAGTTATTAGAAATGAATATAAAACCCCAAGGAACATAGGGATGGAAGTGGATAGAACTATGGAAAAAATACTGCTAAAAATAATAATGCTAGAAGTTTATAGAGCCATTAACGTGTTATTTCACTGGATCCTTACAACATAGTATTAATATTATAGTTATCCGTTCCACATCACAACTTTTCCCCATCACCCTTTTAATATATCACGGGGCAGCATAATGCATTAAATGGGAATTTGGGGGGAGTTTTGCAGAAGCTGCAAATGACACACAAAGGCCAGCAGACAACACAGAAAAAATTTAGAAACTCAGAAATGCATAAAATATGTGTATGGTATTGTACAATATCAACATATTTTGTATTTTAATACCATAATAATTCAGACTTCTTCTCTGGTATGAAGGAAGGGCCAAAAAATTTTACACAGATTTTCCAGATCATGGGGTCACAGTGCTCCTCATCCTTGCAATGTGGAAGGGATGACTGTATTGTCTTCATTTTACAGATGCAAAAACTGATGCTCAAAAAGTTTAAGTGATCTCCTCAAATCACAAAGCTTAAGTTTCAGAGTTAAGGTATGAAGTCAGGTTTCTTTTGACTCCAAACCAAATGCTCTTCTCATTAAACCATGCTGCCTCTCAAAACACACATCTGCTATGAATTTTTTATCCATGTTTTCCCTTAGTTCCAGACAATTTCTCTTTGTGCCCAAGACCCATTTGCTCCAATTAATTTTGTTTTTGTATTCTCAGGGTTACAGAAGATGGAGACCCCTATGTGAGGACTGAGGATGAAAATTATGAAAATGACTCTGTCCGTCAATTGGAAAATGAGCTCAAGATGGAAGAATACCTGAAACAGAAACTGCAGGATGAAGCCTACCAGGTATATGAGTCAGATGCCTGCTGCTCCTTAGACCTCCCTAAATTAGTTTGCATTACATCTATTTTAATAGCTGGGATCCTTTGATGAACTAAGAAAATTTATTCATTCCCACTTTCTTAGGGATTAGATAGACTGCTTTGCTCAGAGTATTTTAGACTACAAATCAGATTATTATAATATATATAATGTATTTATATTATTATAATATATTATTTATAGTATTATAGTATTATACATATATATATATATATAAATCACCAGTCAGGTACTAAAGTACTAATAACACTAATTGTGCAAATTAATTCTACTCATTACTCAAAAATATTTTATTTGAAACTCTATCTAGATTGTCAGAAAAAGCCTTACTTGGGTTGGGAGAAACATGTTGCCTTTATTGTACCCAAACTGAACTTTGGCAGAAATTTCGTCTCTCTCTCTCTGGGTCTTATAGCATTATGATGGGATTATTATTTCATAATATTTATTAGAAACAGATTTTTAGAAGAAATAAAAGATATGTTATTTCCTGAAATACTTTAAAACTGATGCAGTTATCTAAATAATTATATTTGAATAGCTATATTAGTTATCATATGAGAATAAGCAATAAAAGTAAATTAAAACTATTTGTACCTCCTCTTATAAGGAAAATGGAGACAATCTACTCATGGATTCCTCTTAAAGGTAGATGACAGGGCCAGCTAGGTGGGGTGGTGGATACAGCACTGGTCTTAGAGTCAGCAGGACCTGAGTTCAAATCAGCCTCAGACACTTACTAGCTGTATGACCCAGGGCAAGTCACTTAACCTTGATTTCCTCCCAGAGAGAGAGAGAGAGATAACAGAGTAGGATATTCCACTGAGAAGTTCTGGGAAAATTCTAAGACCCAGATATATAAAAGCAGATAGATAGGCCAACCCTTCAGAAATACTAGAAATGCATTTGCCCTCTTAATGCCTCTTATAAAGCATCAGGTGGGGAAAAGGGCAGAGGACAGCAAAGTTTCTAAAAATCTGATTTTACTGATTACTTGAAGGAACTAAGAACATTGAGCTTGGCAAAGAGAAGACTGGCTGGGATCTTGGGATCCCAGCTTTTGGGAGGGTTTTCACATGGGACAAGGATTGTGTGTATTATTCTGCTTAGCCCCAGAAGGAAAACTCAGAACTAATGGGTGGTAGAATCAGGGATTTGGGTTCAGTATATGAAAGAACTAAGGGGCAGTATGGCCTAATGGATAGAGAACTGGCCTCAAAGTGAGGAAGCAGTAGGTTCAAGGTCCCACCTCTGGCACATACCGGCTTTGTGACCCTGGGGGAGTCCTTTAACTTCTCAGTTATCCAAGCAAATCTCTAAGACTTGAAATTGCGCAATGGTTACCAGTCAACATTGTTAGAGGGAGCTGGCTCATCAGGAATTCTCTGTAGCAACAAAATCACAGGTGTAATTTTTTTTAATTGAAAAGAAAAAGACCAAATGACTAAAAAAAATGACTGAAAATGAAAAAATGGGGAAAAAAATTAGCTGTCCAGAGCCAGAATGGGCTGCCTCAGGAGAGAATGAATTACAAGTCTACAACTTCAGTTCGGATAACCACATATCAGGAATGTTATTTGGGGGATTCATATTTTAGGAAAAGTTTCAACCCAGTGCCCTTTAACCCTCTAAGATCCCTTCTAACTCTAAATCCCAATTCACAGAAAATAATATGTAAATTTTTGACAATGATGGCTTTCCCTAATTCCTTAGCTCTCTTCCCATGTTTTCTTTCCCTTTCTGTTTTTTCTTTTCTCAGACCAGACATTTCATGCTTTTTTAGTGAGGTTCAAGGCCTCTGGTGCATATAGTGTGTCTGTGCCTCTTTGTAGACTCCATCAGATTATGCTACCTATCTGCATTACCTCCTGAGTGCCCAGGCTAGCTTTCTCTGCATTTTGGTGTCTGCTATACTCTTTCCTTTCTTTCTTTTCTTTCTTCTTTCTTTCTTTCTTTCTTTCTTTCTTTCTTTCTTTCTTTCTTTCTTTCTTTCTTTCTTTCTTTCTTTCTTCCTTCCTTTCTTTCAAAGTACACTAGAGAAGAAAAAAATGACCTTTTATTTGACTCTCTCACATGACATGTTAAAATTTGAAACATTCTCCCTGGAGGACTACAGGGCAAAGGGAAATACTTCCCTTCCCCCCAACCAAAGAAAAGAAAGCATGGCTTCTTAACCTCTATAATTCTTCTGGACAATGATTTGATAAAAGAAAATGCAATTAAAATCATCCTATTGTACTTTTACAAGAAGAGAATACCAAAATCATAGATCTTGGCCCCATCTTTGCTGCCATCTCTGTATCTTTTTACCTTAGGGCTTTAAGTCCTGTCATTTCATTAGGCTTTATCAATTTGGTCTCAAAAGCACCTTGAGAAAGATCCGCTTTCAAAGACAACTAACATGTTGACCCAGTTGTTTAAAAAAATGTGAATCAATCTCTCTTTCTCTCTCACTCTCTCTCTCTCTCTTTATATAGATACTTGTCTATAGATCAAATGGAGCGATAAATATATAAAATATATTTATACATGAATTTTCATATGTGAACATAAAACATATTTATATGAATATTTATATAAATACACTATATGTTTGATATAAACATATTTATTTATAAATATACAAACATATTTATTCATAAATATATAAGCATATTTATAAATACATAAAATGCTACAGAAACCTGCATAAAGCTGCTAAAATCCAGATCAATGAAGATTTCTTTTTCCTTAGGATGTTCACTGCATTCCACAGCAGGGAAGAGATATGTCACTTTGCTTGGAATCAAGCCATTAGAAAGTCACAGGGAATTTTGACTGATGATATCCCCACATGTTTCTCATTTGGCTCTATTTCATGTACACAGAGAGATATAGTAAAATTGTCAATGCCTGGGTTCATGTTTTTCTGGGCTCCTCAGCTTGGCCTCCCTCTTGGAGCTCAGTTATTTCTGGCTTTGGGTAACACCAGGAACTGTGACTACAGGCATTCCATGAGTTAGGCGGAGGTCAGCCTTCTGCTACAGAACATTGAATCTGATTTTTTTTTAAGCATATCAGAAATTATGCAGATGGGTAAAACTTGTTGAGGAAATACTCGGAGTTTTACAGTCTTCTTTCTGAGATGAAGAAACTTCTTTTGAGCCATAAGCTGTTTTCACATTGCTTTCTCCTCTATGACCAAATACCACAATGGCAGACAGAAATAAAATGTCGGAACCACAGAAAAAATGTGTCTGGAAGAATTTTAAGATGATTTTCTGTGAATGTACAGATGTTTGATTATGTGAATGCTCCAGCCACCATTTCCTCTTCTCCTCCCCTTCCCCAGCCCCCCACTGCAACGCTTTGTGTGCTTGGCTTTCATCCAAATAATTCACCAGCTTCGCTGCCTCCCTGACTTGGTGTGTCACCTCTCTTGTTTTATATCCTTTTTCATCCACAGGTCAGCTTGCAAGGTTGAGTGCATATCCTTCTATCACTTTCCTCTCAAGTAAGTATCCTCTTTGTTTAGGAAAAAATATGGCTACTTACCAGTGAATTCTAATCACTTGGAACTCAGATTCACAATCACTTTCTGGTTTTTATTTGTTTGTTTTTTAAGTCTGCATGTGATGAGATACCTTCCTTCTGGCATCAAGCAATCATAGCTGTTTATGGAGTATTTCATAGTAATGCTATGGAGTGCTGGCCGGCATCTCCAGAACCTGAATTTTTGACTCTGATTCATTAGGATACTTGGCAGGATTCTTTCTATATGCTAACGATGCTCCAAGGATCAGCTCTTGGCACTCACTCACCAGTTCATGTAGCAATAACATCTTGCTCACTTGACATTTTTCTAATGGATTCCAACCTTTATGAAACTATGGATCAGAGGGGTTCTTAAGCTTTTTTGGTGTCATGGACCCCTTTGGTAGTGTCATAGTGAAGCTTATGGACCCCTTCTCAGAATCATGTTTTTTAATATGTAAAATATATAATATTACAAAGGAAAGCAATAATATTGAAACACAGTCATCAAAAATGAAAGCTCATGGACACTAGGTTTAGAAGCCATACTATAGAGAGATAAAATAGAGAAGAGCAAGTCTTCGTCAACTTTGTGATCTAGTCAAAGAATTAAACATGCTTCCCTCTCTACTAGCTCTACTAGGTTGGGGAAGGCTGTGCAGGTGAAGCCCTTGGTTTTGCAGGTACTAACTGGAGGCACCTAGGTGGCTCAGTGGATAGAACACTGGACCTGGAATGAAGAAGACTTGAGTTCAGCTGTGGCCTCAGATACTTACTAGCTGTGTGACCCTGGGCAAGTCATTTAATCTTTATTTGCCTTTATCCACTGGAGAAGGAAATGGCAAATCACTCCAGTATCTTTGCCAAGAAAACCCCATGGACAGTGCTGACATGCTATGTAGTCCACAGCAACAGCAGCCTAGCAGGAAAAACTTCATATCCAGTCCCAAGGATGGATTCTGTGTTTCCATTGTCAGAGAACCAGCCTAATTTTAGAAATTCTTAGCAGGAGAAGTTTGGCCCCAAAGTAATCATCCATTTTTTTCTGTCACCATAACTGAGAGGAAAGCCCCCAACTAAGGCTCACAGGGGTTTTGTTCAGCATCAGTGGAAGTCCTCTACACAACAAAGAAATCTGAAGCATTTTTTAAAAGTCTCATGAAGGATGTCATGGCACAGTACAAAGATCTTTTGATTTCACATCACAGGACCTGGGTAAAAAGGTAAACCGTATCCCTTAAAGCCTGTGTGACTTTCAGCAAGTCACTTTTACCTCTGTGGACCTCAGTTCCCTCATAACAGCTAGTATTTACATAATTTACACTTTACAGCTTGCAGAAGGCTCTACACATGTTAACTCACTTGATCCTCACAACAACCCAGTGAGATAGCTGCAGTTTACAGATGGGGAAACTGAGGCTGAGAGAGATCAAATAATAATAATGATAATG